GATCTTTTCTCTAGGGTGGGGGAGTTCAAAACTAGGAGACATATTTTTAAGGTAAGATAAGAAAGTTTTAAAAAGGACATGACAGGCAACCTTTTTTTTTAAAAAACAGAATGGTTCCTGCATGAAATGAACTGCCAGAGGATGTGGTGGATGCAGGTACAATCACAACATTTAAAATGGAACTAGCAGCATGGAAATGGCTTTAATTGGCTGTCACCTAGTACTGTGATCCATAATCATGTTTCATAGTATATTCCCTACATTTTTGTAGGCTGGATTGTAAGTGTCAGTTCTTGGTCTTCCCACATGACCACTCCTTTTGATTTTAATATTAATTTACTAGGTAGTAGTTGCTCTTTAAAAAAGGTGGTGCAATAGATCAGAGACCAGTTAGAATAATTTTTGCATAAATTCTAGGTAATGATTAAATTTAACCAGTAAATTGTCAGAATTGAAAATTCAGGAAACACCTTAAAATTTACATGAGGCTCTGTAAGTATGTGGGTTTTTTTTTTAAATTAACACTCCTGAGAAAGGTACTGGGGATGGGAGGGATTAGACCTTTTCCTTCAGACGTGCATGAATACATGCACACACTCAAGCCACAGTCCAAAAGACATTTGGATAAGTACATGAATAGGAAAGGTTTGGAGGGATATGGGTAAATTGCAGGCAAATGGGACTAGTTTAGTTTGGGAACACGGTTGGCGTGGATTAGTTGGACCGAAGGGTCTGTTTCCATGCTGTATGACTCTGTGACTCTCTAACTCTTCCTTGTGTTGGCCTTAACTGCTTTCTTTGGCAAAGAATCTTACAGGGTCAACACTCTTTGGGTAAAGAAATTTCTCCTCATCTCAGTCCTAAATGGCCTATCCATTAAATTGTGATCCCTGGTTGTGGACTCCCTTGGTCATCAGCTCACCTTTCCTACATTTTTGCAAATGTGTGAATTAGGAGGAGTAAATAATTATCCTAATCACATACTACATTAGAAAGTTTTTCAAAAAAAAAAAAAAAAAAAAATCACAAAATAGTTACACAGAAGGAGGCCATTTAGATGGTCATGACTGTGCTGACACTGGGAAGAAGCAGTTTAACTGACATCACGCCCAGCCTTTTCCTTATGACCTTGCACGTATTTCCTTTTCAATGATCCAATTCACTCTTGAAAGTCTCAACTTACTCTGCCTCATCACAATATCAGGCAATGTATTTCAGAATTTCAAAAGCTGCTGTGAGAAAATTGATTTGCCTCATGCCACCATTCCTTCATTTGCCAACTATTTTAAATCTGTCCCCTTTGGTTCTCAATACTTACACTAAAAGGAAGTTTCTCATGTCCCTTATTTTTAGATAACTATTAAATCTCCCCTCGACCCACTCTTCTCCAAGGAGAACAGGTTCAATCAACTACTCCAATCTATGTAAGTGAAGTTCCTCACCCAAAACCATTTGTGTCAAACTTTTCAGCACGTCCCTCCTGAAATGTGATGTCCAGCACCAGACACAAGACTTTAATTGAGGCCGAATACTTGTGTTGAGACCAAATTAGTAATTTATAGATAACTGGTTGGACATAACTTCTTTTGTTCTTGTATTCTATATCCTTACTAATACATATTAGCATATTGTACACTTCATTAGCTGCGCTCTCAAGCTGCCACCTTCAATGACGTATGCATATATACAGCCAGGCTCCTCTGTCCCTGTGTCTCCTTTAAAACTATATCTTTTGTTTTGCATTGCCTCTGTGGTTTTCATACTGATCGAATCACTTCACTCTTCATTGTATTAAATTTTATATGTCACTTCTCTGCCCATACCACCAACTTGTCTGCCTTTTTGAAGTGCTATACTATCCTCCTCATTATTTACAACATTTCCAAGTTTTGGATTGTCTGCAAACTTGTGCCCTTTGTACCTTTGGTACTTTTGACATTTAACTTAAATTGATGTATTTTGGTTTTCAACCTTTAGCCAAAGGGAACAGCTTCTTCCTACTTATTCACCCAGATCATCTTGAACCTCAAATGTCACCCATCCTAATCCAAAGTTCCAGCATTTTGTCCACAGGTCTGCAAAGTTACAGCACTCCCACGTTTCTAGGTACTTTTTAAATGACTGAGGATTTCTAACTCCATTACTCTTTCAGGCAGAGAGTTTCAGGCCGCTGCCACTCTCTGGGTGAAAACATTTTTCTTCATTTTCCCTCTAACCTTTCAACCAATTACTTTAAATACATGCCCCTTAGAATACAAAAGTAAGGAACCTTTATAAACCACTGGGTTCAACCTCACTGTAGTACTGTGTTCTAATTCTGGACATCACACTTTAAAACAGGATTACAGTGATTCAAAGAAGACTGCTCACACAACAACTTCTCACAGGCAATTTGGGCAATAAATTCTGGCTTTGCCGGTGACACTCTCGTCCCAAAAATAAATTTTAAAATACTTAAACAAACTCTGCAGTATAATTCTGAAGGAAACCAGCAGCAACAGCTCCCTCAACCCAAAATACATGCTGAATCTCTAGATTGAAATCCAGACCTACATATTCAGTAGCCATCACTATGAGGCTCTAGCAGAAGATGCAAAGTGCATAGGTAACTTTTTTTTTTAAATAAAAAGAAAGACACAAAATAAAGCAATAAAGTTTCTGTAGAGTAGCAATAAAGAGTATTCTTCTTAAAATATATTTAGTCCATCATGATTATGCAATTTCTTTAAAACAGCTATGTACACAGTCACTTCTTTTTCAATTTTATCATATGCAAAAATAAATGCAGAGGAATAAATATTGTGGTTATTAATTGCACATCAAGCAGTCTAATTGTCTACCCTCCCCTAAATAAGGTACTATTCATTGGCTCACAGAAGTCTGCTAACTCTATCTATCACAGTCGTGAAGACAATATACTGTAAGGAGGTGTAGAGCTGGATGAACACAGCTGGCCAAGCAGCATCAGAGGAGCAGGAAAGCTGACGTTTTGGGTGTGGACCCTTCTTCAAAAGTTCTTACTAATACTGTAAGGAGGAAAGTCTATGAGCTGAATCATAAAATAAAGCATTAGATTGGTCAAAATTTATAGTTATGCTGTACTAATATCAAATAAATTATAATAACACCATTCTTTGAATATTTATGCACCTCGTCTTCAAAGTGTGCCGTTCATATAAATTTTAACATCATTGATTTTTATGCTTGGGTTTTTGAATTTGAACTTGCTGCATATGGGTTTTCTGGGTGTCTGAAGGTGTTTAACGATTAACTAACTTGCAAGCATTTCTTTAGCCATGGTGATTTCTTTTAAAATGTATAAGTGTATGTCTGGGGAAGGAGATGGCCTAATGGTATTATCTTTGGTCTCTTAATCCAGAGACCCAGATAACATTCTGGTGACCTGGGTTCGAATCCCGCCATGGCAGATGGTGGAATTTGAATTCAATAAAATATCTGGAATTAAGAATCTAACGATGACCATAAATCCACTGTCGATTATCGGAAAAACACATCTGGTTCACTAATGTCCTGTAGGGAAGGAACTGCCATCCTTACCTGGTCTGGCCTACATTTGACTCTAGACCCAGAGCAATGTGGTTGACTCTTAACTGCCCTCTGCGCAATTAGGGATGGGCAATAAATGCTGCCTGGCCAGGGACGCTCTCATCCCGTGAATGAATAAAGAAAAAAAAAGTGAATAATGGGTTTTTGTTTTCTCTGGGAGAATTTTATGTGTTAACAAAATAAGTAGTTTTGCATTAGACTTGCAGTTTAGGAGATCAGGTAATTTTTTTTTCCTCTGATTTTTCCACGCCTTGGGGGAGAAAAACCTTCAGAAACATCACTTGGTTCTAATTAGTTCCGTGAAGGTTGTTTTAAAGGTCAAAAAGTAATTCTGGAATAGTGACCTAAGTGCATCAGTTCTATGACAGTATATGATTACTGTCACGTGCTGGTGGATCACTGCAGTATTAACACAGAAGATGATGCTTTTGAGTTTATGACATGAATGTTATGTTATAAATAAAGAGAACTAAGCAATTAGTTTTGTCGTAACTTCATTTCAGAAAGGAGTACAAGTTTAGTTCAAAAGGGAAAAGGATTTTCCCTTTGTTGGAGTCTTTTCATTTCGGTTAAATTTAGGTGTACCAGTCACCTTCAGTAGTTGTGTTTTCTAATCCTGCGAGCATTCAAGCAAATAATTACGGATAGAAATCTTCAAGTTGTTAAAACTGATGGAAGTTTAGGCCATCAATATTGTCTAAAGTTCATGCCATCAGATCCAGATCAAAATCATAAAATTCTTTCCACAGTTCAAGGAAAAGAAACTGAAAGGAGTTAGTCAAGTAGAAAATTAAAGAGTTAAGATAGCAGTGATATTTCTTTGGGATTGAGTCACTGTAAGGGATAGTGGTGTGAAGTAGGTTGAAATTTTGTTTTGATATTTGTATCTGACATTCCCTCTAAGCTGCACGGCTGCTCAGAGGGTCCACACAAGATGCATGGTTCCAGAAGTCTTTGCTACCAAATACTTCAGAGATCTACACAGTGGCAGAAAAAAGTTGGAGGGAGTGTAGTTTGTATTAAGTTCTTTCTACCTAGAAATATATTTTACAGAAATAACATACATGGCTTGTATTTCTTGTGTACCATCGAAATGAACAATAACACTTTTGAAATACACCTACACAAAAAGTAGCTGCCTGAAAACTGCATAGCATTTAAAACCTCTAGCATATGGTCATCGATATGCAAATCAAGATGCTGTATGTTCAGTTGGTCAATTTAGTGAGCTATTTACTGAATACATTATTGAATTACTGATTTATGAGTTGTTCTCATGAAGTGAACTCAAACATTACAAATGGATATTTCTGTTCCTGCAGCATACATGCAACATTTTATCAAAGTGGTATAGTATCCAGAAGAATGAAACTTTTATTTAAATCACCAAAAACTGTCTATAATTAGATTTGTGCCTTGCATGATTTACTTACAACTGAATCAGCATCTGGAGATTCCCTGTGGAAGGAACAAAAAAAAGTAACCGTTCCAAATATTTGAATCAAAAACAAAAAAAAAAAGTATTTCAAACAATCTAGCAACATTTGCAATATTGTTAGAAAGTATATTCATACTTCGTGAATGTCACGTGTTACTTTTCTCTCAATTTTAAGAAAAGTGTGTAGGGGCAGCAGAGTGGCTCAGTGGTTAGCACTACTACCCACATTCGATTCCAGCCTCAGGTGACTGTCTGTGGAGTTTGCGTACGTTTCCTCCAGGGCTCCAGTTTCCTCCCACAGTCTGCAGATGTGATGGTAAGGTGGATTGGCCATGATAAATTGCGCATAGTGTCCAGGGATGTGCAAGCGAGGTGGATCATCCATCAGAAATACAGGGTTACAGGGATAGGGTCTGGGTGGGATACTGTTTGGACGGTTGGTGTGGACTCAATGGGCTGAATGGCCTGCTTCCACACTATAGAGTTTGTGATTTTTTTTATCTGTACTATTTATAAAACATATTTCATACATAAAGGATTTACATTTCTAAAATCTTTTGAGAAAGGAAAAGGAAGGAACTGGATTTCAATCCACAGATATTACAATAATTGGAGGACTGCATTGAGAAAGACAATAGAACAAACAAAACATTTAAACTGATCATGCATGACTTTCATTGAGATGATGCAAAAGCTATAGTTTAATAAGAAATGTGATAATTATATAATAAATGAGTTGTTAGCCAAGTATTCCATTAAACAGCTATGACTGCATAAAACTATAAGTGAAAATTCACCGAAACCAAGACAGAATTATTGCTTTGGATTCACTTCCAGATATCATCCCATTCCACAGTTTTTTTGTTTAGATGGCATTGCAAGCCAGGTATATTACAGTAAAGCTGTTAAGTATACGCAACATTAGAAAAGGCCCACAAATCAAACATCACAAAAGATGAAAATTCTAAAGCAGATGATTGAATAAATTACAAGGAACAAAATGATGTAATGTCAAGCATGGGGTTAAAAATTCAGATTATCAAAGGGAAGAAAGACTGAGGAAATAAGAACTTGCAGAGCTTGGTGGACAATTTCCTATCGCCTCTCTTCTACAACAGGCCTGGATCAGTTTTAAGAGTCCTTACAAGACAAAATTTGAATGCCAGCTGTAATTAGGATCTGTTCTCATTCACTATAAGTGCCTTATCCCCTTCTAGTACGTCCTACAAAGCCAATGGTGACAAAATAAATCTTTTACAGATTTACTGAGGCAAATAGGTCAAGGAGACCCAAGTTTAAAACAGTCTTCCCAAGGTAGCTTAACAAATTTATCTTTAAAGCTGTTATTTGCTATTCCCTCATGCCAGGAGTTGTGGAAATTCCAGGGAATAACAGTGACATAAAAGGGACTCTAATTAACATCACAAGTGACAAAATTCCAGAAACCTCTTTCTTTGTAGAAGCTTGAAGTGGTGAAAAACAATAATACCACAGAATGTATGACTTTCAGCTAAAAAGAAACTCTTAAAAATATATCATTAGAACATCCTTATAAACACTGCATAACCTCAAGAATATGAAGTATCTATATCTTCTGAACATTTGATTGTACCATTAAAATAAAAACTCACATTGAATCTGTATCTTTTTCTTTTTTTATCCGTCCTGGTATTCCAAAAGGTTTTCTTTTGATCTTTTTCACCCCTGCATCACAAATAATGCTTAACAATCAACAATTTTAATTAAAATGACATCGAATCTTGCAAAAAGAAACACACTTCTTTAATTATCTGGGAATACAGTTGGACCTCCAAAATCAAATTGCTCATTAGTTATTAAACAATTATTTAATGTTTTCTCTGAATTACATAAGCATTTTAAAACTGTTCTATATCTCTATTATAGTATAATTTCTCACGTCTCAAATGCAGAGAGGTGGCTTTCCACGTTGCTAGAGCCATGCTGGATTGTCTGAAGAGGAAGGATGAATAAATGGAGGAGAAAAGAGAATGAAGAAGGTGAGCACACATATGAAATGAATGGGAAGGGGAGAAAGAGAGGGAAGAATTGTACTTTTTTCTTGCAGGTGTGGGGGGCAAGATGGTACAGGGGAGAAAACAGAAAAGGAATAAATATAGGCGGGAAAGAAAGTTAAATCTCAGTGGTAGGAAGAGGGGAGAAAGTGGTAATTGAAAAGGAAGGACAGGATGCAGTATGTTAGAGAGATCTGCAAGGTGGTAACAAAAGAGAAAGAAAGGAGAATGAGAAAGATTTTTTTGAAAACTTAAAACCACCCTTCCTTCTGGATTCTTGCCAATGAACAGTTTCTTTCTCCCCTACTATTTTATTTGTCTTGTTACTGTTTGGTTTCTCCTTTGATATGGAGGACATGCACAAGTGTGAAACTCCGGTGAGCAGAAATTAGAACAGAGGCAATTAAATATGCTGTGTGCAGCATGCTATGTAGAAATCAATAAAGAAAAGGGACTGTAGAAATAAGAGCAAAAAGGGCTTAGTCTTGGCAGTACGGGTTTAGAAGGAAGTCTGTAACTCGGAGGAGTGAGATGAATTGTTGCTGTTAGGATATTGAAAGACAACCTGGGAAACATCAAATCCTATTATGAATCATAAGCAAGATTACTGAACTGTATATATTTATTAGCAGCAGAAAATTTACCTTCTAGAGCATTTGTTACATTACATTCTTCAAATTCAACAGGTCCTAAAATTAAGAAAACAAATCATGAAGCTTCAAAATTGAGTTACCTTCAAAATTCATCACACAGTTTTGTAAACAGAATGTTTCAATTTAGTCAAAATACTTCTTAGTTTTGTGTATTGGAAATTAAAGTTTTGAATGGATAAAATGTATTTTCAAAGAGATCAGATGAAATTATACAGCTGAACGTCCTGCGCTTTGCTTCCACAATGTGTTCCCTCAGTAATTGGTCTCCATTCCTTTGTGTTGCCCTCTGGACTTCTCAGAGAAAACTTTCAAGCTTATTCTTCTCAGGTAGGAATAATGCAAAGGCAACATTTGCTTCATTTTCCTGCTCCCATTATTAGGCAGTAACACAGCTGAGCACCCAGAGGAGTAGACCTTACATTTTTTCAACTAGCTTACCTCAAGACAGCAAATGGCTGTTAAGAGTCAGCCACGTTGCTGTGGATCTGGGGTCACATGTAGGCCAGACCAGGTAAGGACAGCAGATTTCCTCCACTGAAGGACTTTAGCAATTGCAGGCGTTGGGACCATTATATTTAGAGAAGGTTGAAAGGAGGTTTGATGCAGGTATTTAAATTTATGTAAGGTCTGAACAGTGTAGATTGGAAGAAACGGTTTCCACTCATTGAAGGATGGAGAATCAGAGGGCAGAAATTTAAAGTAATGAGCTAAAGAAGCAATTGCTCATGAGAAAAACCTCTCTCTTGCAGCAAGTGATTAGGATCTAGAATGCACTGCCTGAGTGTGGCAGTGACAGATTTAACTGAGGCTTTCGAAGATAATTGGAACATTATCTGAAAAGGAACAAAATGCAGGGCAGTGGAGTGGCACTAGGTGAACAGTTTCTTTACCGAAACAGCAAAGACGCTGCAATCATTCTGATTCTGTAGAGTGCAGTATATCTATCTGGAAAATAGTATTAGAAAGGAATAAAACTAACCAGTTGAATCTTCCGAAATATTGTAGCTGGTAAAGGGTTAAAAAAGACCCACTATTTTTGCTTGAATACAGTTTCCAAAATTATTGCCCTATGTTACTGAGCTGTGCTGCTTTTTTTGTCTTAGCAACATCTTCTGGTATTGTTAAAAAGCTTTAAAGAATAAACTTTGATGATCTTAAACTTGAATAAGGAATAAGTTAAAGCAGGACCATACGCATCAATTGGAAATCTTATTTTTTCATTAGGAGTGGGATTGAAAAGTAAGAATGCATCTCTATGACTGTAAAATGAAGCTCTCAGTAAAAATACACCATAGCTATTTTAACTAGAAATGTTCCTATTAGTTCCATCTTTGTTTTAAATCATTTAGTGTTATTTATGCTGAAACTGCCTCAAATTCAAAATTTATTGCACTGTGGGCACAACCAAAATTTTAAATTTAAATTTAATTTTAAGAATGTGATTGTTCAAAAACTATAAACTCACAACAGACCAAATTTTATAATGAGATGAGTTTTTGTGTCAAGAAATCGTGCATGAAAGGATAGTTTTTAAATTGCGTATGCTTCAAACATTGCTGGAAGCAACAAAGCCTTTGCGTGCCTGGCTGAGAGCCAGTTGACAACTCAGCTGGATGTGAGTGAACATTCTGACCCCCACCCCGTGCAGTGCATCACTTCTGAATTGTTTCCGCAGCAGAAAGTTTATTCAACCTCTCTCTTAAAAAGCACTGAACCGACCATCATTCTGCTGTTTTATCAAGGCAAAACAGGTTATTTTTCTGACAGCACTGAAGCCAGAGTGCAATCCTAATGAACAGCTTGATACAGAAGAATTTGAAATGTTTTAGCCTCAATTAATTCTGCTGTCAAAACAAATGGTAACCGTTGGTACTTAGACGTTGAGCTTGCTCACAAAAGGTCAAGTTTTGTATACAGAAAACACATCCAAGCAATTTCTAATTTGTGTTTGATGCCTTTCATCTCTAAAACAAAAAACAGAAAATTACAGCTTTAAGAAATAATGCAATAGCTGGAAATCAATAAGCACATATAGCCTTTTTACATTAGGACTCAGAAGCTAAGTAAAAAAATTAGAAACTCCAATATATAAATTGATATATGAAAGCAAAAATGCGATCAAAAAATACTTTTTCAACAGAACCACACTTTTTTTTTAAAAAAATACACAGGTCTTTGACTAGTGTGATGTGACAGGTATCCTATCTGTAAGAAACGGAAACAATTCCAGACACCCTACTAAACAGTAACAACCTTATGCTGTAAATCATACACTTTTAGAATTGAATTTTTCACTTTTCACTCGATGTAATAAAACAAACTATTATCTTGAACATGACCAAACAGGTGTGACAAAATTAAGATTAAAATACAGATATACAGGATCATAAAACAAATGTGTGCTAGGCACGCGCCCTTGATGCATTTATAAATAAAAAAACAGAAATTCCCAGAAACGTTTAGCAACTCTGACACCACCTGTGGAGGGAGCAAGGAAGTTAATGTTTGGAGTCCAATGACTCTTCTTCAGAACTATTTGTGGTGTAAATTAATAATCCCGACTCAAATGAAGGATGTTTGATCAACAAGATCACAAATAATACAAAAATTGCTGGTATGGTAAATAGCAATAAGATTTAGACAGACTGGTTAGATGGGCAGAACAGTGGCAGATGGAGTTTAATCTTGGAAAGTGTGACGTGATACATTTTGCAAGACTAACCAAGCAAGGGAGTACCGTCGAATGATAAAATCCTGGCAAGTACAGAGGATCAGAGGGACCTTGGTTTGCGTGTCCACAGGTCCTTGGTCGCAACCAGGGTTGTGGATAAGCAAGCATATGGGATGCTTGACTTCATTGGTTGAGGTATTGAACAAAAAAGCAGAGAAGTTATGATAGAGCTGTATAAAGTATTAGGCAACAGCTCGAGTATTCTGCACAATTCCGGTCATCATATTATAGGAAGGATGCGGTTGCACTGGAGAATGTGGAGAGGAGATTCATCATGATGCTGCCCAGGGCTGCAGCATTTCACCTCTGAAGAGAGATTAGGTAGGCTGGGGTTATTTTCCTTAGAGTATATATAGGGTGGGGGAGTTCAAAACTAGGGGACATATTTTTAAGGTGATAGGGGAAAGATTTAAAAAAGGACATGAGGAGCAACTCTTTTGTTTTTACACAGAGAGTATTCGCATGTGGAATGAACTGCCAGAGGAAGTGCTGGATGCAGGTACTGTTAAAACAGTAAAAGACATTTGGATAAGTTCATGAATAGGAAAGGTTTGGAGCGATACAGGCCAAGCGCAAGCAGGTGGGACTAGTTTAGTTTGAAAACATGGACTGGTTGGACTGAAGGTTCCAGAGAAGATTCACTGGGCTGATCCCAAATGTGCTTTAGGAGGAGCAGTTGAGTGAGTTGGACCAGTACATATTGTAGTTCAGAAAACTGAAAGGTGACCTCTATGAAACATGCAATATTTTTAGAGGACTTGAAAAGGGTAGATGTATAAAGATGGTTTCCCCTTTTGAGAGAGTCTGGGACCACAGGGCATAATTCTCCTCTGAGGGTAGTCAATTTGTGGAATTATTTATTGCAGAGAGCTATATAGCTGGGTCATTGAGTATATTTAAGGCTGAAATAGATAGATTTTTAAATCAGGGAATCAAGGGTTATGGGGAAAAGGCAGGAAATGGAGTTGAAGACTATCAGATAAACCAGATCCCATTGCATGGTGGAATAGATGCATTGACCTGAAAGGTCTACTTCTGCCCCTACATTTACGGTCTAAGAAACACACCATTCTGTCTTGAAACCATCTTTTCACTCCTTCACTGTTGCCAGGTCAATATCTTAAAACTCCCTGCCTAACTGCATTGTGGTGTGCCTACATCCTACGGACTACAGCAGTTCAGAAAGATAGCTAATCACCACCTTCTTCAGGACAGTTAGGACCAGTGATGCTCGCTTCCCAAAAATAATTTTTAAAAAGTCTCTAATTTGGGAATGGTCCACAGCTTCAGGATCAAGTCCCACTTGAGGACTTGAGCGCAAAATCAAAGGTAGCACTCCACTGCAGTAGTGAGGATGGGAATGCTCACAATAACATCTTGCAGATGCGACATTAAGTTGACCCCCAATTACCTTGTTAGTTAGATGTAAAATGTACTTTAGCACTATTTTGAAGAACAGTGGGCAGATGGTCCTCGGTGCACTGGTCCATACTTATTTACCCCTCAGTTGACATCACAAAAAAAAATCATCCAGTCATTATCACGCTGCTTTTTGTAAGAGTTTGCAGTGTGTAAGTTTGGCTAACATATTTGCAACATCACAATTTCTTTGCATCACAACAATGATCATACTTTAAAATCACTACAATGGCTGTAGAGCACATTGAGACAATCCGATAGTCACGAAAAGTTCTACAATGAGTAGAAACCTTTCTTTCTTTCACAATATACAGTTCAATTTTTAACCATGTAACTGCATCGAGTCTGAAGGTATGCTTGTATGATTTTCTGCAGCATATTTAAGGTCTTTTTGTTCTACAAGAAATGATTTCATCAGCATTGCAGTTTACTGAATTTTCACCATGTAAGTGCATCAAGTCTGCAGGTATGCTTGCATGATATCCTGCAGCATTTTTAAGGCCTTTTTATTCTGTACAGTTCAATGGATCACAAATGCAAACATTTCCTCCGCTGAGCAAGAGATCAGCACTTACTTTTGGTGAGACCACATATGGAGTAACGTGAACAGTGTACAGATTTGGTCTCCTTCATTTAGGAAGGATACAACAGCATTAGAAGCAGTTCAGTGAAGGTTCACTCAACTGTTTCCCAGGATGAAGGGGCTATCTAATGAGGAAATGCTGCGCAGGAAAAGCACAGCAGGTCAGACGGCATCGAGGAGCAGGGAAATGAATGTTTCAGATCGAAACCCTTTGTCAGTCCTGACAAAGGGTTTTGGCCCGAAACACTGACGTCCCTGCTCCTCGGATGCCATGTGACCTGCTGTGCTTTTCCAGCTCCACATTTATGGACTCTAGCCTCCAGCATCTTCAGTCCTTACTGTCTCTGAAATGCTGCTCAGGTTGGGCATGTATCCACTAGAACTCAAAAGAATGAGATATGATCTTACTAAAACATATGGTATCCAAAGGGAAATGGCCTGATAGTGAGAAGATGTTTCCCTTGTGGGAGACACTAAAACCAGGTAGGACAGTTTAACACAAAAAGCTGAAGGTAAAATCAGCACCATAATGAGTACACAGTAATACAAATAAAAATTGTTCCACTGTTTTAATCTCAGTCAGGAAAATAAAACAAACTCATTAACATATACGACAATATTGTGTCTTACCAGGTCTGTCTTTGCCAGTGCCTTTTGTTTCAGCAAACTTCTGTATCAAGCTCTCAACTGTAGTGCTCTCCATGTTCTGTACTAACTCATCATGCACCTAAAAATCGAGGATTTATTTTAATGAATAAATTTATTGAAATTCTGAAACTGACCTTAATAATGTTTTTCTTTAATTGTACTTATTAATATGTTATCATTTTCAAGGGAATTATTTACTCCTCCTCCCTCAAACAGGTGGTGGTGAGTCTTCCACTGTAATCTGTGCGGTGTGGGACTCCCACAATACTGTTGTGACTTGGAGATGAACTTAGTTGTGTCTGCTGCCCTTGTCTTTCTAGGTTAATAGAGATTAGGGATTTTGGAAGGATTCATGAATAAATCTTGGTTAATTGCAATGGTATATCTTATGAGCAGTAGTGGAGGGGTTAAACACAAGGTTGTGGTTCAGAGTTCCCTCTAATTTTATTTTCCTCCTGCACAGGCTTCTGAGGTTTGTGCATGGCACTTACTTCTAGAATTGGAAGACAATGCTGCAATCTATGTCAAAATGCCAATTGCCAAGCACAAAACTTGCTCAGCTTAGAGGGAACCTTGTCCTGGATGGTATGCTAATCAGGTGGACTGTTTTGTTATGAACAGTATTAAACTTCCTGAGTGTTGTTAAAAGCCATGCCCATTCAGGCAAGCACAGACTATTCTAGCACATTTATAACTATGCCTTGTTGATAGTAAGGATTTGAGCAACCAAGAGTAAATTACTTGCCACAGAATACTAAACCTTTGATCTGCTCTTGAAGCCATAACATTTGTATACCTGGTCCAGTTGGGTTTCTGAACATTGGGGACGCCTCAGGATGCTAACAATAGGAGATTTTGTAATGGTAATATCATCGCATGTCAAGTGGAAATGGTTAAAATCACTCATGTTGGACAGGATTATTGCCTCACATTTGTGGGTCCACACTTTATCAATGTTCTTAGAAAGTCTTGCTGCGATGTCCAGAGGTGAAGACGATTGGCCTCAGATAACCTCAACTTTGTTTTGAAATTTGTGCTAAGTATTTGAAGGCTTTTCTACTAAATTCCATCAACTTCAGTTTTACTAAAACCTCTTTGCTGCTGCACTCGGTGAAGTGATTTTTTGTAGTCAAGGCACATTGACTTCATTTCTGGCATTCAGCTCTTTTGTCCATATTTGGATCAATGCTGTAATGAGATGTAACGTTGCATAATCCTCATAGAACTCAAACTGTACATCAGGCAGCACCTTATTGGTGAATAATTCCTCCTTTTAGACATTGACACTTTTCATCACTTTGCTATAAATTGGGAGTTGGTTGGCTGGTCTAACAATTACCCAGATGGAACTTGTCCCTCTAGTGGGCAGGACATTCCTTGGAACTTCATGTATCGTTAGGTAGATGTATCGTATAGGGACAGCTTAGCCAGAGATACAACTAGTTCTGGAGCATGTCTTCAGCACTACAGCTGTGATATGGCTGCAGGCCATGACTTTTGCAACATTCAGTTTGGTCAAACATTTCAACATATAGATTGAACCGAATTGAAAACTTGTATCTATGGTGCTAGGCACTCGGGAGGTGGTGGTCATCCACTCGGCACTTTCAGCTGAACATAACTGATTGTTTCAGCATCATCTTTTGCATTCATATTGGGCTCTACCATCATCAACGATGGAGACTTTCCCAAAGCCCACTACTTGTCTTAGACATTTAATAGTCCCACCATTCATGATTGGATTTGGCAGGACTGTAGAACTTTGAACTGATCAACTGGTTATGAACTCACTTATCTCTGTAAAATACTGCATCTGTTGTTTAGCTGTTTTTTAAGATGTTTGTTTACAGGATGTGGGTCCTGCTGGCTAGACCAGCATTTATTGCCCATTTATTCCAAATTACCCTGGAGAACATGGCAAGATGGCAATGAGATTCAGTTTGAACAATTGAGCCGGAAAAGATTATGGATAATGCAAGCTTTCAGAAAGCACACATGACCACCAGATATCTTCAAAAACTAAGTATAATGTTAGATAGTTACAATACTGACTATCCAGCTTTCACTGGACTGGACCATGACTGTAAGAGTGGCTTTGACAGCTTCCAATAACTAGAATGTTAATTACCACATTAGCCTCCACTATATTATCTTACGGACCTGTCACTTTCCAAATTTGTTTACAACATTGAAAGGATTCAGAAGCTAGCAGCAGTACTGCATCTTGCGTAGCTGCAGTTGCTACAATTTATCTGTTGAATGAAGCCTGATCAATGGATTTTTCAAAAAAAGTTGTTCCATACTTTCTTGCAAATCATGTTTTGAATGATGCCATATTTAAAATGCTTTGTAATTTAGCTTCACTGCTAACATACCTGACCAATCTGTACGTGAGTCTCTTCTATCGATTGTGCAAAAGAACTCAATATTTCTTTCATGTGCCTAAGATGAGCTTCTTCAATTTCCTGAAATTTCTAAAGAGCAAACAAAAACCACAACAATGTTTAAAATAAAATGAAATTCTATGTTCTAAATCTAAATAAAAAGCAAAAAATTTTATATAAAAGACTGAAATACAAAATAAATATGCATTTAATTGGTCAGTGTGAGAGATGCTGCTATTAGAGACTGAAAGCAAATAGAAAATAGGTCACATGTAAAAATCCAAAATGGAACAAGTTTAATAAGTTAGTAGGCCCAGTTTAAACAAAAAAAAGTCAAAAGGCAAATAAAATCAGGACTCTGAAAAATCTAGGTCATTTTGTGTTATTAAGCCTCCAGTTATATTACTTAGAGAATCCAGAAACTTGGAGAACGAAGTGTTAAATAGTGAACAGCTAGGGACCAAACCCATTTGTCATAATTGCTCTTCAAACAAAAGATTTCATATTTTGTTTACACTCCATATAAAGAACCTAAATGACTTGGCAAGCAATTGCTTATGATCAGCGGAAAAGAATTGTTGGTGGTCTTACGAGCTTTGAAGATGTATTATCACCCAATATGAGAACCATTCCCATAGCAAATACAAAGTAACAAGCAGTCGTTCTTTTTACAGCAAAATTCTAAATCATGATGCTGATTAAAAATTTCTATTCATAATGCAGATGTAATACTTTTTTAAAAAACATTTACACCATCACTCACCAACGTCTATCCTATCTCTTACATACCTTCTAAAAGCCCGTATGTAAGCTTCAGAAACAAAAAAAGAAAAAAAGAAGATTTTATCCTGGTAACCATTCACACTGCCCTTTTAAGAGCAGTATTCCTTCCCTAATGGTAGGTTTGTTAATATGATCAATCCAACACCAATGACTTACATTTTAAATATAATTTTAAGGTGACATTGATACCATGGGTGCGGACAAGTCCTTTCGCTTTGAGGTTATACTCAAATACTACAAAGACCAATATGATGACAATCAATCACTTTCCTATACTGGAAGACAGATGCAAAAAATTTATGCACAATACAACTCATGCCCTGAGTCTAATGCATTAAACAAGCCTTGTTCAGCACAGAATTGAGAGTTTATACTGATGCTTAGTTCAGGAAATGGAAATATTTGCATTGTAGCGAGAGGATTCATTTTTAATTGTGGCCTTAAAGAAGGTCATTACAACATATAGATGTTCATACTTTTTCCATAATCCCAGCATTCCATGCTGTCTCCTGTTTTCCTGTTCCTCCTGAAAGCAGCAAATTATAAGGCCATGACCTCAAATGCGAGGGCAATTGATAGTTCTTGTCCAAGTATTTTCATATGTGAGCCTAGGCGCTGAGTTTCTGATTGTTCAGACTTAGCGGCAAGTGAAACTCAATCTTCATTCAAGAAGTGATAGTGTAATTCATTCTGGCCCACATTGATTATGTTGACATGTGTTTAACTCAGTAACTCTGATGAGGGACAAGTTAGGTAAGAGAACAAATAAAAGCCAGAGAAGGGTCTAACATATTCTTATTAGAATATAAGAACCAGGAGCAGGAATGGGCAATTCAACCCCTGGAGCCTGCTCCGCCATTTAATACGATCATGGCTGATCTCATTTTGGCCTCAAATCCACTTTCCTGCATGCTCGCCATAACCCTTTAATTTGTCTATCTCCTCCTTAAATTTATTCAGTTTCCTAGTGGGCAATGCATTGCAGGGTAGTGAATTCCACAGATTCATGATCCTTTGATAGAAGTAATTCCTTCTCATCTGTTTAAAATCTGCCACTCATGAACCATGACCTTTCATTCTAGATTGCCCCACAAGGAGAAACATCTGCTCTATGTCTACTTTGTCAATTCCCCTTACCATCCTGTATACCTCAATTAGATCTTCTGACATTTCTTCTAAACTCTTGTGGGTATAGGCCGATATTGCTCAATTTCTCCTGATAAGACAACCCCCTTATCTTTGGAATTAATCTAGTGAACCTGCTCTGAACTACCTCCAATATAACTACATTCTTACTCAAAAGAGGGGACCAGAACAAGATTCTAGGTGCAATCTCACTAAAGCCTTGTACAGTTGCAGCAACATTTCCATGATTTTATACTTCATTCTTTGAGCATTTAATGCCAAAATTCCATTTGCCATCCTTATTACCTGCTATACCTGCAAACTAGTTTCTTGCAATGAGGACACCAGATCCCTCTGCTCCAAAGCATTCTGAAGTTTCTCTTCACTTAATAAGTTGCCTTTTTATTCTTCTTACAAAATGGATAATGTCACACTGAGCCACATTGCGCTCCATCTACCAAATTTTAGCCAATTCACCGATCCTATCCATATGCGAGGGGGCAGCATGGTGGCAATGTGGTTAGCATTGCTGCCTCACAGCACCAGGGACCCAGGGACACTAACCTTGGGCGACTGTGTGTGGAATTTGTACATTCTCCTTGAGTCTGTGTGGGTTTCCACTAGGTGTTCTGGTTTCCTCCCACAGTCCAAAGATGTGTACGTTAGGTGGATTGGCCATGCCGAATTGCCCCATAGCATCCAGGGATGTGCAGGTTAGGTGGGTTAGCCAGGTTAGCCATGGTAAATGAGGGGTTATGGGAACAGGGTAGGGCTCTGGGGGGGGATGCTCTTCAGAGGCCAAATGGCCTCTTTCAACAGTGTTTAATTTCCACGATTCTTCTGCGATATCCATTTGTAAATTTCTTATTTCTTCATTGCCATTTATTCGCCCACCTATTTTAGTGTCATCTGCAAACTTGGTTCATTTGTCATGATGTGGAAGTGCCGGTGTTGGACTGGGGTGGACAAAGTCAGAAATCACACGACATCAGGTTATAGGCCAATAGGTTTAGTTGAAAACACAAGCTTTCAGAACCTCAGTCCTCCGTCAGGTGTTAGTGAGAGGCATAATCAGACACAGAATTTAAGTAAAAGATCAAAAGGTCACACACCTGATGAGGATCTACTAAATGAACCCTAGATGCTATTAAACCTTTCATCAGTTAGAAAGTTTTAATTGATTAATATGTACATGTAAATCCCTGAATTCCTTTCAAGTCATGGTCCTGCGAGAGCTAAAGGCTTTATCAGAGTAAAGACAAGGTGACATTTTAGGTCTGACAATGCATGTTAGGTGTGAGGCCTTGTTTAGAATCTTGTATGTTTTAGTGCGGAGTCAGACTGGTTTCATCACTAATGTGTGCGTGTGCTGGAGAGAGAGAGAGTGGGCAACTCTGCATTGCTGTGTATCCAGAGGTCGGCCTTGGAGGACGTTTACCCAATTCAGCCTTGGATCTTTAAGTAAACGTCCTTCAAGGCCAACATCGGGATATGCAACAATGCAGAGTTGTCAAGCAGAGGCTGATATCCAAGTTCCGTACCCATAAGGATGGCTTCACCGTGATCTTGGGTTCATTTCGCACTACAAGTGGCCCCACCACCCTATAGATTCTCACACATGCACCCACTCACTCGCACTCTCTCTCTCTCTTTCTCTCCCCCGCAGACACGTCTTTTCTCTCTCTCGCTCTCTCTTTTCCCCACCCACCCCCACACGTGGTCTCTCTCTCTTTAGTAATGAAACCAGTCTGACTCCAAACTAAAACATACAAGATTCTAAACAAGGCCTCACACCTAACATGCATTGTTGGACCTGAAATTCCACCTCTTCTTTACACTGATAAAGGCTTTAGTTTTCTCAGGACCGTGACTTGAAAGGAATTCGGGGATTTATAAATACATAATAATCAATTAAAAACCTTCTAACTGATTAAAGATTTAACAGCATCTAGGGTTCATCCTCATCAATGGTGGGAACTTTTGATCTTTTACTTATAAATTCTGTGCCTGATACTTCCTCTCTCACCAACATCTGAAGGAGCACTGAAGCTTCGAAAGCTTCTGTTTTCAAATAAACCTGTTGGACTATAACCTGGTGTCGTGTGACTTTTGACTTTGGCTCATTTGTAAACAAATTTTCTGAAGGTGTAAAATCTTTTCAAAAAGTATACTAAACACCCAAATCAACGTAATTCGGAAACCAAAGATTAACTTAAAAAAAAAAAGTTTGGCTGAAAAAAAAATCAATGAAATTTTAATTGTTTTTGTACGCGTAACCCGAAAACTCCTTCAATGAACTATTACATAACAGAGCAATTCTCCTTCCAATATTCCCTTAGGTCACTGTCCCAATTCACGCATCAGAATACTATTTCCATGATCCTCATTTGCTTTGCTTGTTCTCAAAGACTAAACCATCAACACTTTCTCATCTTTTTATTCATGATTCCTGATCACAATTTGAAAGATATTTACTAGTCACCTCCCTGCCCACTTAATTTGAGGTTGTTAGGATGCTGCAATTCTGAGGAGTAGAGGAGGAATTCCTGGAGCATGTAGGAGATGGTTTTCCTCGATCAATATGTTGAGGAACCAACTAGAGGACAGGCCGCCCTAGACTGAAGTACCGGATAACGAGAAAGGAGTAATTGGCAAACTGGCCACGTGAGGTTTTGAGGAAGAGTTGGAGTCATACAGCATGGAAACAGGCCCTTCGTCCCACTAAATATACGCCAACCAACAAACACCAAACTACACTAATTCCATTTACCTGAATTTGGTCCATACCTTCTATGCCCTGGCATTTTAAGTACTCATCCAGATGCTTCTTAAATATTGCAAGAGTACCAGCCTCCACCACCCTCTCAGGCAGCAAGTTCCAATATCTATCACCTCCTGGGTGAAAAAAAACATTTTCCTCAGATATCCTCTAAACCACTTGCTTCTCACTTTAAACTTATGCCATGTGACCTTAAATACCTCTGCCATGGAGAAGAGATTTGCATGATCTACTATACGCTCTCATAACTTTGTATATCTCAATCAGATCCCTGCTTAGCCACTTCTGCACCAAGGAAAACAACACCATCCTATCTAGTCTCTCCTCAGAACTGAAATTTTTCATTCCAAGCAACATCCTGGTGAATCTCCAGTGCAATCACGCCCTTTCGATAGTGTGGTATCCATTAATAGCTATAAAGCTCTTTGGAACATTCTGGAGTTGTGATAAGCGCTATGTCAAAGCAAAGTCCTTGTTTCAAAATTGCCATTATTCTATCTCCCCTTCAAACTACCAATGCTTAATAACCATCCACTCTAACTTCCCCTTGGTCTCCAAATTTTCTTTCCTCTCCACTCACTCCCCAGCCCTGCGATCCGAGGCTGGTAGGATGGTGTCATTCTGATCCCACTAGCAGGTCAGGTACTATCAGTATGTAAATTTTACTGCAACAAGGCTTCTGCTGTGACAACTTCACTGTGTAGGATTTAAATTGACAACTTGTGCCGATGGAAACAAAGCAATTGCCTTCATAGAAATCTCTCCTACTATGAGCTTTTTCCTACATTCCAAAAGCTCTATCCTTTCCACAAATGCTCCTCTGTACCCCATTCCTGGCCTAATTCCTTTGCCCCTTTCATGGGAAATCTTAAGATGAAGATGACCCCATTTTTAAACAAGTGTTATTTAAATTTCTTAATTGATGTAACAAAAAGCTCCACTAGTTTTCCTGAGCTCTTCATTAGAGTTATAGAAAGTTACAGCACAAAAACAACATTCAGCCCAATTCACAGGCAAAGACAAACTATTAAGTCTAATGCCACTTTGGAGAACTAAGTGCACATTCAACTATTTTTCAAATGTGGTGAGTGTTTCTGCCTCTATCACCAAATCAGCCAGTCAGTGAGATCCAACAATCACCACTTGAAAGGACAGAAAAATCAACTTTCTTGAATCAGCTACAGCACTTAGTAACCATGCAGCTCATTATATAAATGGATTTACTGCTTCTCTCTTGATAAGTTGCTCATCAGGACAGTGTGCATGAACAGTCTGCAATTTCTCATCTATTAGTTTAAATGAGTGGAGAATCATATGTTGCACATGATTGTTCAATGTCTATATCAAAAGTTTGCAACTGGAAAATTTACTGTCATTTGAGCCTCCATTTTAACAGATATAACACTTGTATTTCTAGTGTGTAGACACACGCAGATATGAACAATCATATTCCTAACTGGACCCCATGTGACATGAGCTTCTTTATACATTAGATAACAAATCATCGAGTTCACACAAATTATTAGCCAGCATACAATACATACCCGAGCTGTTTCTGTCATTTTCTGCTCAAAATCAGTTCTGGCTGCAGCATATTTTTCCACATACAGTTTATAGGTTTCTGTAGCTTTTTTAGATTTCACAACTGCCTGAACACAACACAAAAGACAAAAAAAAAATGTATGAACTACTGAAACATTTATCAATCAAAACAGGGTATATGCATTCTTACAGAGCTAAACAATACACAAAATTTAAAGCAGGAGATAAAGTTGCCACAGTCATACAAGGCCATAGGGCTGCTCTCTCATTTCAGAGACAACTGGTGGGGGTTTAACCCGAGGGTCACCATGCCTCAGTTGAGGGGATAGGTTGAGAAGGAGAATCCTTCATGGTAACCTCAGTTGGTGTGGGAATTGAACCCACGCTGTTAGCATCAGCCTGCAGTGCAAACCAGCCATCCAGTAAGTAAAGCAGTAGAATATACAATTAGAAGTACTTTACTTTCTGCTTCAGTTTTAAACTGAACATACTGTTACTAATCTGCTAGGAATCTTTTCCCTTCTGTCACATCTCACCATTGCAAAACGCACATCAACATATTTATGCAGATTAACCTATCACCAATCAAGTATGACTGGTAAAATCTAGAGTCCATCTTGTATGCATCTTTAAAGTTCTTTGTCTCCTATAAAATCAGAATTTTCATCATTGCTAGTGGCTTTGTCTTTTGTTATGTGGCACACATATTACTCTGCTTGTTCAGCACAGTTTTCCACTGTCTTTGATTAAAGGATGGGACAGTCAGTTTGGTCACGATATTTCTGTTAAAACACACATTATAAATTGCTTTTTAAACATTTTAAACACTATTAGGTATAAATTCTAAAATCAAGACAAAATCCTATGTCACAACTCCTCGTCTAAGTGATATTAATATGTCACTTTTAAGTAGAGGCCTTGAACTATCTTGTTCTGGATTTAACTCCAGATCTCAGCATCAAGGAGAACTTTTTGTGCTAGTATGTACATACTCCTAATACTAGGAAATGAAGCTTGGCAAGTGGTTGAAGTTTCAGTGCGCGAGCAATTTGGGGTCAGTGACCATAACTCTAAGTTTCAAAGCCATTATGGAACGGGATAAGGATAGTGCAGAAGTTAAGTGTCTAAATTGGGGGAAGGCCAATTTACATATCATTAGACTAAAGAATTCAAAACCAGTAGCAAGTCCAGGGAACCCTGGATGCCAAGAGGTAAAGAGTTTGAGAAGAAAAAGCAGGAAACATATGCCAAGTACATTGCATTAAATCAAGGGAGGCCTTCAAATGTTAGGGAGTGTAGGAGCTCGTTTAAAAAGGAAAGTGGAGGGCAAAGAGGGGCCATGAAATATCTATGGCAGATGGAATCAAGGAAAACCCCGAGACTTTTTCTAAGTGGGTAGCATCGGTAAGTTGGGCCAAAAGGCCCGTTCCATACTGTAGACTTCTATGACTCTAAGTATATTACAAGTAAGAGGATTACCAGGGAAGAGGTGGAACCTATTAGAGGCAACTGTGCGTGGAGCCTGACGATGTAAGTGAGGTCTTAAACGAATACTTCTCATTTGTATTCACAGAGGAGAAAGACATTGCAGCCGGGGATATCAGTAAGGATGGTGAGGTTCTTGAACACATCAAGATTAATAAAGACGAAGTATTAGGTGTTTTAGCGAGCATAAAGGTGCATAAATCCCCAGAACCTTAGGAGCTGTATCCCAGGCTGCTATGGGAGGCAAGGGAGGAGGTTGCTGGGGCTCTCACAAATATATTTTATACTTTATTGGCCACTGGAGAAGGGCCAGATACTGGAGGGTAGCTAATGTGATTGCTTTATTCTAGAAGGGCAGCAGGAATAGGCCAGGTAATTACAGATCAGTTAGCATGTTGTCAGTGGTCAGGAAATTATTGGAAAAAATTCTGAAGGATGGGATTAAATCAATATTTGGAAAGGCAGTGATTGTTCAGGGTTAGTCAGCATGGATTTGTTAAGAGGGAGATCCTGTCTGATTAATGTGTGTTTTTTGGAAAGGTGAGTAAATATACTGATGAGGGAAGTGCAGTTGTAGTTGATATGGATTTCAGTAAGGCTTTTGACAAAGATCCCATGGCAGCCTTCCATGTGGGACCATGGCAAGGTGGCAAACTGGATTGAAAACTGGCTTACAAATAGGAGGCAAAAGGTAATGGTAGTGGATTGATTTTGCAACTGGAAGCCTGCGACCAGCAGAGTACTACAGGAATTGGAGCTGGAACCCTTGCTGTTTGTTACGTACGTTAATGATTTGGATGTGAATGTAGAAGGTTTAACTAGTAAGTTTGTAGATGACACGAAAATTGGGGTATTGTTGATAGAAAAGAATATCAGGCTACAACTGATCTTGATCAGCTGGTAAATGGGCACAGCATTATCGGGATTAAATTCCATCAGCCAGAGTGAGGTAATACATTTTAGGAGGTCTAATAAAGGAAAGATATATACAATGAATGCTACGTCTCAAGGAAGTACTGAGGAACAAAGGGACCTTGGTGCACAAGGTGTCAGCACAGGTAGACAGGATGGTGAAAAAGGCTTACAGGGATGCTTGCCTTCGTTAGCTGGGGTGTGGAGTATAGGAGCAAGGGAGTCTTGTTACAACTTTATAAAACTTTGGTTTGGCCACATATAGAATACTGTGTGCAGTTCTGGACACCACACTTTTGAAAGGTTGTGACTGCACTGGACAGGGTGCAAGGAGATTCACCAAGATGTTGCCTGGGATGAAAAATCTCAGTTATGTGGAGAGAGTGGATGGGTTGGGTTTATTTTCTCTGGGGAAAGAGGAGGCTGAGGGGAGATCTGATTCAGGCAAACAAAATTATGAGAGGGGTAGGCAGAGTACCGTGAGAATCTCTTCTCATGGCAGAAGTATCTAAGACCAGAAAGCATAAGCTTAAGGTGAGGAGCAAGTGGTTTTCACTCAGACGGTGAGAGATATATGGAACATGCTGCCTGAGGGTGGTGGAGGCAGTTACTCTTGCAACATTTAAGAAGCATCTGAACGAATACTCAAAATTCAGGACATAGTAGGCAATGGATCAAGTGCAGGTAAATGGAATTAATGTATTTCAGAGTTTGTTGGTCAGCATAGACATGATGGACCAAAGGGCCTGCTTCTATGATACATGACTCTATGACTCCATCTCCATTATCAATCATGGCTGTAGGTACTTCAATGTACAAATCTATAAACAGAGCCTCAGCTATCTAAATATCTGAAACATCCCCTTTCTGTATAAACTAAGGATTATGGTTGTCCCTCAAAGCTGCAAGAATCTTGTTAAGTTCAGGCAAAAACTCCAGTCAGAAACATTGTAAAACTTTTCCATGTAAGCTTCTGGATAACTGCTGTCTCAAATGTATTATAATCTTCAGACTGCTCTTCCAAATGATCAATTAGTATTCGATGTAAATACTTTGCAATAAAGCTGACCAAATTTTGCTCATTCATTCTAACTATGCTGCAATTTTCTCAAATAATACAATATATATTTCAATCCCTTCCTCATTAAATTGTTGCACTGGGTGAACATTCCATACCAAATCAAGTACTGAGAGCAGATTCATAATGAAGGTTTCCTGTTACACCATGAGATAGCAAGAATTGTAGATGCTGGAGTCAGAGACAATACAGTATGGAGCTGGAGGAACACAGCAGGCCAGGCAGCATCAGAGGATCAGGAAAGTTGACATTTCAGGTCAGGACCCTTCTTCAGAAAAGACCCTTCCTCCTGTTACACCATGTTCGTTAAGTGAAGGCATTCAATCTCCTGTTCAAATATGAAATGCCTCACTCCTCTGCAAGTCAAAGGTTTCCTTTACTTTTGATTTTTGAATACTTTTCTTTAAAATTCTAATTTCACATCTCACATTTTTGTTCTTTTTCCCTTTCTTCTGTGTTCAAGATTTTTCATTTCTGTTTCTAATTCAAGTTGCTTCATTTGCAATTGAACTGGCTAATTCAGTCTATATTTTAGTTGGATTACTCTTCTCAGATGTTGGGCAAATACCTCTTCAATTTCTGACTTTTTAACTGAATATTTTTAAATCTATTTCTAATTTTTATGGCACCACCATCAAATTAACATTTGTTACTACTACAATCTTTTTCAGAAACCTAAAAGGACAGAGGATTTAATTAGCTTGACAGCTGAACAGTTTCCCTGACAGGTCCAAAGAGTGTATCCACTTTTTACACACGTTCATATTTACTTTTAACAATTTTGAAGGCAATTTTCCCTCTTCCAGGGAGGTGACAGGCCTATTAAAGGGTACTTCACCTCTCCAAATAGTTTTGCACAAGTCAAATTTTCCACTGTACCCTTTCAAAAATCAGATCTGACTGAAGACAGTTTCAGATGCAGAGGAAGCTATGAAGAAGAATCTATAAGGTATATGTATGACAGTTTCCTGGAACAATGTGCCATATCCAAATGGGGATCAGGTGACTTTAGACCTGGTGACGTGTAATGAGGCAGGTTTTATAAATGATGTTACAATTAAACTCCCGTTGGATACAGCTACCATAAGACTTGTGTTGGAAACAACAGTGTTGAGCCTAAATAAGGGTAATTACAAAGGAATGAGGGCAGAGGAGTGGATTGGGAAAGGGGTTGAGCAGCAATGATGGTTGAGGAATAATGGCAGACATTTTAAAATAAAATTTATGGCTCACAAAGATATATCTCAGTGAGGACGCATTCTAGGAAGGAGATAAACCAACTATGGTTAACCAGGGAAGTTAGGGATAGAAATTGAAAGAAGGAAAAAAAATGCAAAGATTAGTGGTAAGCAAGAGTCATAGTCATAGTCATAGTCATAGAGATATACAGCATGGAAACAGATCCTTCGGTCCAACTCATCCATGCTGACCGGATATCCCAAATTAATCTAGTCCCATATTTGGGACATATCCCTCTAAATGCTTCCTATTCATATATGCATCCAGGTGCCTTTTAAATGTTGTAGTTGTACCAGTTTCTACCATTTCCTTTGGCAGCTCATTCCACACACGCACCACCCCATGCGTGAAAAGGTTGCCCCTTAGGTCCCTTTTAAATCTTTCCCCTCACACCTGAAACCTATGACCTCTAGTTTTAGACTCCCCTACCCTGGGGAAAAGACCCTAGCTATTCACCCTATCCATGTCCCTCATGATTTTATAAACTTCTATAAGGTTACCGATGCTCCAGGGAAAATAACCCCAGTCGTTTCAGCATCTCCCTATAGCTCAAGCCCTCTACCCTGGCAACTTCCTTGTAAATCTTTTCTGAACCCTTTCAAGTTTCATAACATCTTTCCTAAAGGATTTGGAAACTTTAAAAAAAAACAAAAAAATGACCAAAACTAAAAAAGGGAGAAACTAAATATTATGACTGATGGCAAGAGCTCCTTTAAACATATATGAAGGAAGAGAGAAGCTGAAGTGAGCACAGGCCTATTATAGAATGAAGCTGAGAAAGCAATAATGAGGAAACCAGGAAATAAAAGTTGAATAAATTTGAATCAGTCTTCACAACAGAAAAATCAAACAGCTTTACAAAAGTTTTCTAAATTAATAAGTTACAAAATTACTAAAAGGGCAAAAGGGAGGAGAAGAAATAAATAGAATAACTATCACTACTGAGAAAAAGAAAAGTGCGAGGGAAGCTAAAGGGGCTAGAAACCAATAAGTCCCCCAGACCTGATAGGATGCATCCTAGGATATTAAAGGAAGTAGTTAGAGATAGCAGAGGTAATAACAGAGCATTTAGAAACACATACTCAAGCAGAATCAGCATGGCTTCAGGAAGGAGAAATCGCAACTGATAAATTTACTGAAATTCTCTGAGAAGGTAACAAGTAGGATAGATAAAGGAGAAACAGTGGGTTTAAAATATATTTGGATTTTCAGAAGGTGTTTGATAAGGTACCACACGTTAGGCTACAGGAGCCAATGGTGTTGCAGGAAGTATATTAGTAAGGATAGAGAATTGGCTCACGAATAGAACACAGAGTTGGGACAGTGGTGTGCCACAGGGCTTGCTTTTGGGGCCACAATTATTTCCTATATATAAACTTGTAGTTGCCATTTTTCAAGTTGGGACTTCGGTATTCAAGCCTCTGGCACAGTTTTGGCAAAGTCTGAGACCCTTGCCAGTTTGGAGAAAACCTGGATCTATCAGTCTACCAACAGTAACAGAATTACCCTTACTGTGTCTACAGCTATGATCCTCCCGCGTCGTCTTCTACTTCAAATTTTCACAGCCAAGCCATCCAGACTTGTTGTCAGTGAGAATTCTGATCACATGGCTCCCTTCATTCCTATCTCCCACACATTTTCATGTCCTTAATCCTAATGTGCAGATACAGCAAAGTAATGCCTTAAATTACTTTATACCAAAACAGACTTAATTAACTCTGGAACCAGACCAGCTGATTTACAAAGTTCCACAAAGCAGGAAAGTAACAGATTGTCGCTGCCCTCTAACAACATTTGTTCATTTGGACACCAAATAAAAACAAATTTCAAGACCTTTACCCATAACATCCCTTTAAACTATGGCCAGTTTTCCTCTATTCCACCTTTGGAATTTGTGCCTTATGTTCTCACAACTTTGAATTTTATTCCTCCTACCAAACTTGTAGCTATATGGTCCAAAGAATTGGGCCTCTCCACCCTATAGCTACATCCTTCAACAGCCTCTCCTGCCCAGATCTCTTCCTCTCACCAAGTACAAGTTAGCTCTCATCTTGTTCCGCTTTCTCTCCGCAGATGCTGCCAGCCCTGAGTTTTTTTCAGTAACTTCTGTTTTTATTTTGGATCATTACAGTTCTTGCACTGTTGTATAAAAGTCCAAACTTACTACAGGAATAGGAAATGCAATTCATATTTATTGCACTAATGCAGCAATTTTGTTGATATGGAGCTCCCATTTCTGTGGGGTAAACAGCTAAATAGATGAATTTCCTGTCTCCTTTTTTTGCAATTCATGGGGCGTTTCTTCCTCCATCCAAATTGTTGGATGATTTGCACATGAATACCAATAGCACATTAAACTTATAATTGTTTTCCTACTATTCTAAGTACAAGTGTTCAAACTCACCAGTCTTCTTTTGACCCTTTTAATTGGGAATTTAGTTGCAACCTGGGAAAATCTGGGGCTATCAGTTCTATCTTTTTCCTTAATCAGATTGTTTATACAGCTTACTTTTTCAATTTCTTTCTGTGTTGCTCCTTCCTTTTTTAATCTTTCATATTCTACACACTTGACACTGTAGTTTTCTTTAGATTTCTGCAGAGATTGAGTGATGCTCTGGATGTTCTGTACAGCATCAAGGGTTCCTGCCACTTCTTCTTTTGTCTGTAATAGAAAACAAATGTCAAAAAATGAATGGATTTCCTATTTAGTAATCATCCATTCCAAAACTTAAAAGTTCAATAACATCTTACAATTAATCTGATTAATCAAAATTTATCCAAAGTGCAGTTTCAAAGAAAATGCATTTTTATATTCTTCAAAGTACTTAAGGATTTTTAACAATTCAGTTAAGAATTTTCAACGAGTGATGCATTTATTCTATTTTGCACAAAATGTCAGCATAAAGCAAACACCGTTATGGACTCATACAAATGATACACAGAGAATGCGGGCATTTGGTCCATTGTACCTATGCTACCATTTCGAAAGAGCTACCCAATAACCCCAGCTCAATGCTTTGACACACAGCCAAGCATTTTCTGTTTCTTCTCATGTATCTATCTAATTATCCTTTTGGAAGTTATTGTTGAACCTGCTTTCTCCTCTATTTCAGGGATCTAGGATTTTATAATCCCAGATTACAACTATACTGTTTTTCTTTTGTCATTAGATGAATGTCTCCTCACATAGCTCAGTATCAAATTGTGTTTGATAACACTTCTGTGAGGCATCGTGGGATATTTTACAATCTTAAAAACATTAAATACAAATCCTTGTTCTTGGCGAACCCCCAGCCATGAAAAAACAAAGCCACAAGATTCATGCCCTTTTCAATTATTACACAAACTACAAAATGAATACTAGTAACTAGACGGTCTCTTAAATAGTCAGTTATGTTAAAGATATTAAAATGCTGATTCTTTAAACTAAAACGTCCTTCTAAATCCATTTGGCTTATAATCCCCAACAATTCAAGTCACATCAGACTTAACCAATTAACCATTTCATCTGATTACATTTCAACGATTTATACAAGGGCTTACAGCAAGGTTGCCCCTTCAAACCACTTCCAACCAATCATTGTAGATTCACAGCTCAACAAGGGTGTTGCCATCATCTGAAGCATAATCAACTTGGGTCAGAAGCCTTCTGATTCTAATAATCTTTAGCTACGAAGTCTTGCATCTTAAACTATCCCCTTCATTTCATATTGCCAAACCAGAAGTCTAAGTCACTATTGGGAGCTTTTCAGTTAATTGGTGGTTTAACCTATTTTTGCTAGCACACAAAATTTCATCTGAAATCTACACGAAGATGATGTTTCCCACAGCAAGCTTTTGGTAAGCTAAAAATCTGCTTGAGACCAGGAGCCATGCGTATAATTAACTTCTTGTTGAAGCTTTTCTCTTGTTTATCTCCAGGCAAGTTAGTCACATGATCAGCTACTGGAAGCAAGGCCTAGTTCTTAAAAGGGACCATAACCCAACATATAAATTAATTAGCTCAGATGGCTGGTTTGCAACGCAGTGTGAGCCATCAGTGTGGGTTCAATCCCCACACCAGCTGAGGTTACCATGAACTTCTCAACCTCTCCTCTCCCCTGACACATGGTGACCTTCCATCATCTCCAGTCCTCTATCTCTCTCCGACAACAGAGCAGTCCTAATGGTCCAGCAAGACTATGACAACTCTTCCTTTCAGTCCTAGATTCTCCACAAGAGAAAACATCTTCTCTATATTTACCCCGTCAAGATCTGTCAGGATCTTATAAGCTTCAAGCATATCGACAGAAGTACATGGGCCATCTCAACACTGAACATAAATAGCTTCAGAACAGAATGCTGCAACTTAAGGCATTCTGAAAAGTGTCCTGGACCCTTAATTGATTCTTTTCATTTACGACTAACTTTTAACACATTTTACTATGTTCCAACAATTCCATGTCTTTTAATTGTTTCTGTAATCTGTTTGGTACTTGTGAAAGATTTTCTTGGTGCACATATGTCCGCTACATTCACTGAATTTCCTCAAATTCTGTAACCTATAATGTTTATTAAGCACGGTTGTGACTTTTATTATCAATGTTGACTACAGGTAGTGCTGCTATAATGCGTGCTTCGTTAACACGAATTGGCTGTAACGCAACTGATTAATAGTGGTTGCTGTTTGGATAACACAAACTTTCTGCTATACAGGTTTAGCAATTTCCCTATAATGAAATTTTCTATGGCATGGAATCGCACAAGAACACAAATATCGCGTTGTAGGAGAACTACCTGTGTTTCTATTTTGTCTTCTTCTCATTACATGATAATTTCACTCATGGCTAGAAACTCTAAAAAATTTTCCAACTTCAGATGTTAAATTACCTGGATTATAATTACTCATTTGTTGAATCAAACATTCCCCTGGCTGTTGAATAAATGTTAAAAAAATCTAATGGCACTGCTCAGAGGAAATGAGGGAGTATAGTAGTCTTCTGTCCAATAATTTTCACTTAACAAATGTCATCTAAAAACAGACGAACAGTCCTTCATTTCACTTCTATTTGAGAGGTATTGTTGGTGCAAACTGACTACTACCTTTGCTTACATAGCAAGCAGTGCAACTTCAAAAATTTTTCAATGCATGAAACTCAGACATTTTCAATTGTATTAACAAATAATTATATACATAATTTTATAAGATTAAGGATGGGTCGTGATTTATCTGACTCACTACATAGAAAAACGTACTATCCTTTCAGGAATTATATCATTTACAATTATTGGTGAAGTACAAATTCTAATTTTCTATCCAGAAACATTTTGTTGTATTGAATAATAAAGATACCATTTGTTTTATTACCTTTTTGTGTGCCTTGGTCTGTTCATCTCCATACTTCTGTACTTCTTTAATTAATTCTTGCAGTTTTCGTACTAGATCTAAATGGCTACTGGCTAGTTTCTCTGTTGATAATTTTAAAACATCCCATACTGGAGCAAATGTTCTGAAGAAATATATAGTGTAGAAAAGTAAAGCATCATCGCAATAGCAGACAGAAAATGGTATCAAGTAAAAAAAGGGAAGACTTTCAACTTAAAATCTTAATATTTAAGTTCATGAACAAATTCTCAATTCATAAAATTTAGTTCTCTATATCAAGTTACATTTGGATTATACTTACCCCAGCTGACTGTAATTATTCGTTGTTTTGGCTAATTTAGTCATAGACCTTGAATAAATATCTTCTATTGTTACACTGTTTGGGGAAAAAGTATCTTTTTAAATTGGATTGCAAAAAAAAAAAAAATTGTCACACTTCAGATAATTTCCGAACAACTTTTACTACAAATTTTACACATTTTATACCTCTCTTCAAAGATTGTGCAAATATACAAAAGAAAAATATTAAGGAATGCGGGCAGAAAAACTGTACTGACGGACTGCTGCACTCTCAAAAGACACTGTCTTTGAGTCAGGCATTAAACAAAGGCCAACCACCCCTCTTAGATGGGCGTAAAAGATTCCTTGGCAATATTTCAAAGAACAGTCGGGGTTATTCCCAGGATCCTGGCCAATATTTATCTCTCAATGAACATTAATAAAAACATATGTTTCGGTCAGTATAACACTTGTTTCTTGTGGGAGTTTGCTATACATAAAATTACAGGCCTATTGTCTGTTCTTTATTACAACAATAAAAACATTTCAAAAGTACTGGCTGTAAGCACTGAGGGGTCTGGTGGTCATGAAAGGCACTACATAAGTGCAAGTCTTTTCCATCCCTGACTGGTTTGTCTTGGGACCACTTTTGCTAAGCATTGCAATATATGATTTAGAGTTAAGCATTATAAGCACAATAAGCTTTGGAATCTTTCGTTTCCTTGTATAATAAAGGCTTTTTTTGTATTTTTGATTGTGGACTAAAATGGGGAAAGAACTGTTTTAAAAACCAAGGATTGTTGAAGGAAGTTGCAATTTTTCAAAGTAAGTAACTTGACACTCCAAGCAAGTGTTGTTTACACAGCTGCTTGCTCAAGCAGAAGTCTGGAACAAAAATAGAGATTGCTGGAAAAACAAGCAAGAGAAGTCTGGAGTTAGGAAACTCTATACAAATGAAGATTTGGTCGACAAGTAGTAGATCAGTCTGTGGATTATGACCAGTTATCGGTGACAAAGGCCTTTTGCCTGCCAACGACTATTTGACTGGCTCCCCGGAAGCTGAACAGATTGGGGATGTCAATGTTTGGAAGAAGCAATCAGATCTCCACAAGGACAGATGTCTCTTTTGTCTACAGTAAAAACCACTCTAAGCCTGAAGAAAGTCAGTTTATTTCCCTCCCTCAATTGCTGTAAGCTGTAGCTTTTGATTAATAAGTCAGAGAACTTTAGAAGTATGAACCAGTCACCTGTGCCTCCTGCAATCAAGTGAAAGTATCTGGAGAATGAAGATTGAGAACCAGTGTTCTGATCAGCAAAGGATCATCTCAGTCTATGGACAGCAACCACTGAAGTGGTTCCCAGACTTTCCCTCTGCCCATAACACCCATTTTGTTTCGTGCTTACCTGTGTCTGTCCATGTCTGTGTATAGAGGGAGAGATTTTTAAAGAGGATTTGAGCTTTAACTAGTTGAATTAGATGTTAATGGCTCAGAATGATTTATCTGCATTTAGAATCAATTTATTTCTAATAAGTACCATTTCTTGTTAAGTAGGAGAAGCCTTGTCCATGCTTTCTGTAAACCTTGGACTCGAAGACAGGCTCATTGGGGAATATGCACACTACAATAAAATCTTTAACTTTTCGACAACTCGCAGAATAGTGGGGCTTGATTTCCAGTGTTCTATCCCAGTGAGGCGTAAGAAATTTAGTCTAATAAAATAAGCTTCAAGGAAATTTAAATATATTTAGGAATGTACATATATCATAGACTTCAAATATATTGCAGAATTGGATGGAGAACTGGCAGATAAAATCAAAGCAGAGAAATCCACGTTCTTCAACAAGAGGCCAGAAAAAAAAAAAAATTAGGAATGGATTATTTACTTGGGAAGAAAACAACGCGTATGGAAAATGAAAGAAATCTAGTAATGTTAACCGACAACTAATAGAAGCAGCCACAACAATGTTTTGATGCAAGTGTTATGGAGAAGGGGAGGTTAAATGAAAGAAAATCCCAGATATTCACTTTATAAGTAACAATTTATTTATTTAACCCTAACAGTGAACAAATTAACAGGATTACTAACAAACCGAACAATTCCCCCTTAACTACTATTGTCTAACTGAACTAAATTCTACAGGTATGCTGTTCCAACAAGTCCCACTTATGTAAACCCAAATAATAAGAAAATAAATTTTAAAAAAAACACTTAGGTCTCAAAGTCTACACGTCTTTCTTCCGCTGATCCAGCCGTCTCTGTGAAGTCTTCCGTGAGGACTCTTAGCTAGAACTGCTGTGGTACCTTTTATGAATAGATGCTGCTTTCTTGGAGAGCTTAGCAATTTCTTCTGAGAGCTGAATGCTTATTTCTCAGATGGCAGTTCGCTCTCCCAAGTATTTTCAAAAAACTTCTCCTTATTTACCTTGGATGACATATCAATTTTCTTATAATAGCATTGGGCTGAGGTCATCAAAACCATCAGATTTAAATTCAATTGGCTTTCAATTGCTAAGTTTAAATTAACTGGCTGATTGCAGCTAGTTGGCAAAACATCAAAACAAGCCTAAGGTTTCCAATTACACAGCCAATTGATACGTTTCCATTTCAGAACTGGCAATACATCTTCAGCTACTTACGGACACTTTTTTCTACATAAATCTCTAAGCTTAGAAACGCACTTTACCTCGTAAAGGAACCACACACTCTTCTCCCTGATCATTCTTTTTATATACAAATTCTAGCTTCCTGCCTTCCAATTCACGATTATTCTACATAACATCATAACAATAACAGAAGCAACCACAACAATGTTTTGATGTCAGTGAATTGAACAAATGAGACATTGAAATGTATTAAAACGTCAAACCAAACAAGACACAATCCTGTCATTTAATAAATAATTGGATCCACATTCTCAATGCTATAGACAGCCAAAATACAAAAGGATATTGTATAAATTAAAATTAAGAAGAGCTCAATTCTGAAGATCTTGATCTAAAATGTTAATTATTTTCTCTCTCCACAGATCTGCTTCCTGACCTGAACATTTCCAGCATTTTATTGTTTTAAATTTCAGATTCCCAGCGTCCACAATATTTTGCTTTTGTTCTATGATAGCAAATTCAATTATTAGGAGCAATTATGCAAATTACGCAAACTTTTACAAGACGACAGAGGACTGAGAAGGGATATAGGGCTAGAATTTTGTGGATCAAGGGAGAGATCACTGACCTTCAAAAATAGCAGCTGGGGCCCAATTCCTGGACCCATTTCCAGCTGCCTCAATTTCCTCAAGCTGGAATAAGGGTACAGGCTGTCTGATTCCCAATGAGATAGCTCCACTGCAGAGATAATCATGTCCTAACATACTGGAACTTCCATGAAATCAAGCCAACTTTTCAAAATATGGTGAGTTCACAGCCCTTCAGAGGTGTCATGAACCAATGTCTGGATAAGGGAGCATTTTGAAGGGAAAGTTCAAAATGTATGTCTCTCCTACACCAAGCTACATCACTCTACACACACCCCATGTCTCACCTTGCCCTCCAAGTCAATATCCCTTTACCCAATTCAATCACCCCTCAATCTCCCAGCCAAACTAAGACAGTTCTCTGCCCATTCATCCTTTTAACAGAAGAAATGAACCCACGCTAGCAATAACGCGTGGAAAAGTTTGTTTTTTTTTTAAAATAAGTAATACATCCATAACAAAAAATAAATCTCCTTTTACTACAGCCTTACAAAAGTGTCAGTCATCTAGACCTTCGACGTCTCAGTTGCTGAAACTACTAGCTGTTAACACCTCTCTACTTCTGTGTAAAGTAAGGCTGCGATCTGTTTTGTCAATTGCACAATAAAACAGCTGTCAATGGTTTTCATTAGATGCAGTTGTTTCAACATAATAAATAATAATATGATGTCCACAGGGGTGCCACAAAGATCAGTACCACAGCCTCAACCATTTATAGTAAATATTAATTACTTGGTGGAAAGTATCGACTCTGTTGTAACCAAATCTTTTGATGATGCAAAGATAGACAGGAAAACATATTGTGAGGAAGATTCAAAAAAATCTGCAAAGAGAGAGACATAGCCGATGTGAGTGGGCAAAAAGATTGAGCATAACGTAGCAAAACGTGAGTTTGTCCATTTTGCTAAGAACGGAAAACAGTTTGTTATTTAACTGAGACAGAATGCAGATACTGTGGTATAGAACAATAGGGTTGTACTTGTAGATGAATAAACAAAACTTAGAATTTAGGCACAGAAAGTAATCAGAAAGGCAAAAGGAGTGTCAGCCATTATTCCAAGAGGTATGAACCATAAAAGGTAAAGAAATATTGCACCAGCAATTGTACAGTGCGTTGGTGAGATCTCACGTGCATACAATTTTGGTAACTGTACTTTAGAAGAGATATACCTGCACTGGGGGAAGTTCAGAGATGTTCCACAAAACTGACTGCTAGGATGAAGATTGTCTTATGAGAAAATGTTGAATATTAATTTCCCTTGATGTGTGCCGCTCCAACACCAGGCAGCTCAGCGCCATCCAGGACAAAGCAACCCACTTAAGTGGAACAGCATCCACCACCAGCACACAGTAGCAACAGTGTGCAGCATCTGCAAAATGCACTGCAGCCACTCACCAAGGCTCTTTCGCCAGCACCTTCCAAACCCACAACTTATAACATTCAGAAAAACATGGACAGACAGTGCACAGAGACACTACCACTTGCAGGTTTACCATCTTCACCTGGAGATATATTGCAGTTCCTTTGGTTGCTGGGTCAATAAAAAAAAAACAAGGAACTTCCTCCCTATTAACACTGTGGCAGTTCATGGCTCGCCACCAATTAGGGATGAACAATAACACTGCCTGCCAGTGAACATCCATATCTCATGAATGAATATGAAATGTGTCTTAGAGATGCAAAATACCTTGCATTCATATCAGCTTCCAGTAGTTACAATCACCGTTTTGCACTTGTCCATTGACAATGCAACACAACACAATGTTTACTTTACATATGTTTTCCTATGGAACTCAAAATAAACATCTGAATGGTATTTACATTTGTAACTCTACCAACTCATGATACTGCATAAATATCCCAAAAGCAATGAAATACCTTTCTCTTATGAAGTCTGCCAAATCTTTTGTCGATGTTTGACCATGTTTCATATTATGATAAAGGACATCAAAGCCATTGTTCTTCTCCCCCTGAAAGCAACAAATGACCAGTTTTAATGCTCAAACTTTAAAAACTCATCTAGATTTTGTCTACTGCACAAATTGCAATTTAAAGCAAAACAACACATTAGGCCATTATTTTGTATTTGGGTACAGATTTCTAACAGTACAATAATTTAATATTAAAATGTCCAGGAATAAAATACCATTTCAGAGTTCAAGTTTTTCAAAATTGAATTCTAGTTGTCATTGATTAAATCTAATCAGCAAGTCCAAAATGAAATCGAACGAACAAGTACAAAACTAGACTGCCTAGTGTGCTATGCTTCACTGTTGCACATCTGTAACACTAGTAACAAGAAAAAACAGCAAATGAGTGCAAATCTGTCACAGTCAAAGGGATATCTGACAAAGCTTTACATCAACAAAATAACTGTTATTTAACTCACAAAACGTGTGGTCAAAATAGCGCCTGTATTGAATCATTAATTCTGGTAATTATAGGATTTCTGGTGATTCATTCATCAAAGACTACTGTAGAATCAAAACACTCACCCAATGAAAAAGGTATATAAAACAGTGTGTGAAAACAAACCTAGAAATCTAAATACAAAATACGTGAAGCATGTGTGTGCATAACTTGTAATAGTAAAATAATAAATATTTGGGAATTGTTTTATTCCCAGTTGAAAAGATACATCTACATCTCAATATTGAAGAAACAAGTTTCCTTGAAATGTGTCCATTATAATTTGACTGCCTAATATCAAAGAAAACATCTTCAGAATTACCAATCTGCTCAATGACAAAGTTCTTGTTTAGGATTCCGATTTCAAAGCAACAATATAGCTGCTCTTTTTCAAACTTCAGTTTATGTGGTGGAATGTCCAATGGAGTTAGACTGTATAAACTCTGCTGCTTACAAACAGTCATCTTCACCTATGGAATCAAGGATGATGTACTGTTTTAACTTACCGAACAGCTGGAACTATAGAATCATACAGCACAGAAGAAGCTCTTTGGCCCATTAAATCCTCACCAACTACTCTACATCTATACTCATCCATTTTCCAACACTTGGTCCATAGTCTTGAATGCAATGCCATTTCAAGTGCTCATTGAAGTACTTTCTAAAGGTCGTGAGATTTCCGACCTCAACTACCTTCCCAAGCACTGCATTCCAGATACCCACCACATTTTGGGTGAAAACATTTTTCCTCTAACCCCCTCTAAGCCCCCTGTGCTTCAATTTAAAGTTATGCATCCTTGTTACTAACTATTCAACTAAGGGGAACAGCTGCTTTCTGTCCACTCTGTCCATGCTCCTCGTATCCTTATGCACCTTAATGGGGTTCCCACTCAGATTTCTCTGCTCTAAAGAAAACAACCCAAGCTTATCCAGCCTCTCTTCATAGCTAAGCTGCTCCATCCCAGGCAACATTCTGCTGAATCTCCTCTGCACCCACTCCAACGCAATCACATCCTTCCTATAGTGCAGTGACCAGAACTACACACGGTACTCTAGCTGTGTCCTAGATTGTAAGATTGTACAACTCCAACATAATCTCCCTGCTCTCAATGCCACAATGATAAAGGCAAGTGTCCCTTAAGCTTTCTTAACTACCTATCAACTTGTCCAGTGCCTTACCTCTACCATGCTTCTTAAAAAGTAGTACCTCATTAGCTGTCTCCCAGTCCTCAGGCACCTCCACTGCAGCCAGAGATAAATTTAAAATTCTAACTTTCTTCCTTGTATTCCAGGTTGCTATGGGAGACGACTCATCCAGACATGGGTATCTGTTTGTGGGACCACTTTGAAGCCCCCACAAAACTTCCAATACCTCCTCACTCCTATGTCAATCCGTTCAAGAACCAAATTCTGTACCTACATATCCATCTTTTCCCCCCCAAGTGAAAATACATATGAAGTACTAATTTAGCACTCTACCAATGTTCGAGCTCCACGCACAAACTGCCCCCGTTCTTCCTAGTGGGCCCTACTGTTTTCCTGGATTTCTTCTTCCCCCCAATACACCTAAAAGAATATCTACAGATTCTACCAAATCTTATCTGCCAGTGTTTTCTCATGCCTCTAAGCTCTTACTTGCTTTCTGAAGAACCTTCCTGCACTTTCTAGATTCAACTAGGGCCTCCATTGATGTACTCTCTTTGTACCTGTCAAAAGCCTCACCTTTCCTTCTTATCCAGTCCTGAATATTACTAGGCATCCAGGGTTCTATGGGTTTCTTGCTCCTTATATGTACCTAAAGGGAAAACGTTGGGCCTGTACTCTCCCAAAATCCTTTTTGAATGACTCTACTGTTCTGCTGCAAATTTACACAGAAGTTGCTGTTCCCAGTCCACTTTGGCCAAATCCTGCCTTATTTCAATAAAATGTGCCTTCCCCCAATCAAAAATTGTTTTTGCAGACCATTATTTTCTTTTACCATAGCAAACTTAAAACGTACTGTTGCGGTCGCTATCACTAAAATGTTCCCCTCCTGCAACCTCGAACACCAGTCCAGTTTTGTTTTCCATAATTAGGTCCAGCAATGCACCATCTTTTGTCGGACTTTCTACATGTTATATAAAGCTTTCCTAAATACATTTCAAGAAATCTGTCCCTCTAAACCTGATATGCAAGTTGAAATCCCCTAAAATAATTAGCCTATTGTTATTTTTAAACACATCAGTGAATTATCTGCTTTTCTATTGCCTGCTGTTCGAGGGCCTATAATACACATCCAGCAATACGTATACCCACTGCTTTCATTCTAAATCTCTAACCACAAAGCGTCATTTGAAAACCTTTCCAAGATATTGTTCTTCCTTATTGCAGTAGCTGACTCCTTAATTAACAAGGTGATCTCCTCTTTTATGCCCTTCTCTGTCCTGCATGAAGATCTGATACCTGAGAATGCCGAGTTGCAAGTCCTGGACCTCCCTCAACCATGTCGGACATGGCAACAATATTGCAATTCCACATCTAATCACGCCCTTAAATCAACTGTCTTACCTATAACAAGAGATAACAAGGTGTAGAGCTGGCTCCTCTGATGCTGCTTGGCCTGCTGTGTTCATCCAGCTCTACACCTTGCTATCTGATTCTCCAGCATCTGCAGTTCCTACTATCTCTGTCTTACTTATAAATACGCCTGGCAGTAAAGTCAAGACCATCCAGCCTTGCCTTGATAAGTCAGAGGTACCAATGGTGCCAACAGCATAGGTAGAATGTGGCATGAGGTCTTTCATGAAGAATTCAGGGAGCTAGACAGTGGATTAAAAAGCAGGACCTCAAAGGCTGTAATCTCTGGATTAATCCTTGTGCTATGTGCTCGTGACTGCAGAAATAGGAGAATACAGCAGATGAATGCGTGGATCAAGAGGTGGTGCTGGAGCAAGGATTTTAGATTCCTGGGTCGCTTGCACTATTTCTGGGGATGATGGAACCTGTGCAGGTCAGAATGGGACCAACATCCATGTAGGTGGATTTACTAACACTTTTTGGAGGACTTTAAACTTGTCCAGTGTGGGAGAGGACACAGAGCTTTAGTACAATAGGGGTACAGTGTACTTTAGTAAAGGAAACAAGAGAGAGGGAATTCAACTATGTTGAGGGAGTAGAGTCACAGAGTCAGACAGAATGTACATATGGAAACAGACCCTTTGGTCCAACTCATCCATGCCAACCAGATATCCTAAATATGTTTAATCCCATTAGATTAGGTCCATTCAGGACCTCATCCATCTTCCTACCTGTTTGGTTGTACCAATGTAGACCGTGATGTCTGGCTGATGCCCCTCCTCTGGAAGGCTGCCCTGCCACCACAGTGACATTTTGTACCTTGGTGTCATCACAGTCTATGAACCATTCTAGAGTCACATTTATCGCCACAGAAATTCTAGTCTGATGCCCGGATGATGGAATTCATTATCACCATCGCACTTCCGTTTTCTTTCTCTCCCCAAACAGCGGAGATGCCCTTCATGCTATGGACTTGTCACTGACTGTACACCTCGGAGAAACCACTGCCTTCACCAGTTTCCAAAATGGAATGCCACCTATCTGATAGGCAACCATTCCCGCTCTTCCTGTACATTTTTAATCTGTATTGTGATTATTTCCCTCTATGGGCTGTCCACATGGTCTTCTGCCTCGCGGACGCATAACAGCAACTGCTGCTCCGAGATTCCACACCCTCCTTCAATATATACTCTTGTACATAAAGAGCCAAGCTGTTCTCAGCTTTAATAGGATTTATTTTGCCTGCTCCATCTGAGTGAATCTTCTTTTTAACACCAAGTCCCTTCACTCAAATTTCCGAAAGTAAAAATAAATGGTCGTCAGTAGCTAGTGGCAACTACTTGGTCTTTAACTCGATTCTTCAAACCAGAAATCTGCCCTCATCAGAACTCTGCTTGGCGATTAACTCAAAAACAGTCCTTTCAGCTGTCTGGCATTGCAGCATTTGCAAGTCTCCTTCACCAGAAATCCATGTCTGACTGTTTCAGAGAATCTGTAAATCAATATGCAGAAAGGCTGGACAACTCCTGCTTTGAGTCCAAGTGTCAAAACTTGCACCTTACTTTCAATATGCTTTGTCTTGAGCTTCTGTCTCCATAAAACGAGCAAGTCACTTGGGTTTGTCTCTGGAAAGACTGAATAGCGAACTGCATTCCTCCTCCAAACTACTCAATTTTACTTCTTATTAGAGATAGCATAAAACATAACTGTCTTAAAAAGGCCAGTGTTCATAACAGAAGTGAGAAAAGAAGCCAAAATGAGAAAACATAATAGAAAGAAATTAACTTTCACTTTGTTAGTGTGGCAGAAAAGTTACAGGAGGCTCAAATTGAACATATTCATCAATTTTAAATGATTGCATTAAAAGGCCCGTTTCTGTGCAACGACTTCTACATAATCCCATGTCTGTATGTACTTCTGATTTCAGGCCATTGGTTAGCAGTGGAGGCATGAAACTGTAGTCACATACCTTCTGCCACTGGGTGGCAATGCAAGATGCTGTCCA